ATACGTACGATAGTTGATGGGTAAATGCTTGATGGAGTAAAGGCAACTGCGATTGGAACCGGGCGGGCGTTTTTTAAAATATATTTTCATTTTCATATCCAAAATCGCTAACAAGTGGAAATTTTATCCAGATTTGACATAAAAAAAAGAAATAGTGACAAATTCTATTTAGACCGTAATGTTTCTTCTGCTAATCAGTTGTTGCAACTAGCTCTCCTTGTTGAAAAAAATTTTTAAAAGACGAAAGAGGAAACCCAACCATTACTTCGTAATAACTGCTAAACTACTGGAGATACAAATTTTGACTTCGTTGATGGTTGATAACTGTACTTATTATTTTTTATTTTATCATTCTTTTTTGCAGGCAGGCAATTAATAGTAACATTGTGTCCTGATATCATGGCCTACAGTTTTCAAAAAGGACCGAGTTCCCACGATCCACTAGGACGTTCGCGCAGCGAAATCAGTTTGGAAGTGGCCTTGTCTATTCTTATTTGCCTCATCTCCATCCTCGACAATTTCTTAGTCGTCTATGTTGTCAATAAAGACTCCAGACTCAAGCGCTCATCCTGAACCTGGCTTTGACTGACATCTTTATGGCAACATTGTACATGCCTTTTTGGGTAATAAGCCTCCACTCGGGGACTTGGATTTTTAGCGAGAAGTGGTGTCAGCTTTCTGCTGCGATTCTGTCTACCTTAGCAGCTACTTCTCACCTGACAATGGGGCTTATCGCCTTCAACCGATATGTCCGAGTAGTCAAACCAGCGATGTACAGCAGGCTTTTCCCAAGCAAGAGAATGGCACGATTTTACTGCGCCCTCGTATGGATAGCTTCTACACTTGTTGCAACACCGCCATTGTACGGGTGGGGTAAGATAGCCTACCATCCCTCTTTTGCTATCTGCACTTTTTCCTGGAAGGTTCAGCATATTTCATATGGCATAGTTCTTATGGCATTATTGGTCAACGGAAACACAATTGCAATATTTTATTCCTACTACAAGATTTATAAGATTCTTAAAGAAAGCACTCACAACCTGAATGCCCATAGCACAGAAGATGGAGCGCCATCATCAGAACGTCGTCGAACTGATATCAAACTCTTGAAAACCAGTTTCGCTGTCGTTTGTACATTTGTGGTGACCATGGGACCAGGTTCTGTCCTTGTGATTTGCGAGACCGCTGGGTGTTTGATCCCCAGGACAATTTCTCTGACAGCTATTTACCTCATGTTTACCAGTAGTTTAGTAAATCCAATTATATACGGGCTTATGAATCCGCAGTTTCAAGCGGCCTTCAAAAGAACGTTAAGTTTTGGTCGTTGTGGAAACAACCAAATAAGTCAGAGTTGGACAGGAAATGGCATCAGGCCTTGTAGCAAGGTTCGATGTCCTGAGACGATATGAGGACTCAGAATTAGCCTTCAGTACGTGCTTATTTTTTCAGGCAGAAGAAATCTTTTGTCTCTTCTGTTGTAGTTAAATAGGATAGGACTGGATACGAGCTCGTAAATATGTGATGTAACTAGTAGTAACCATGGGCCTTTGTCACACGGCTGCCATTTTGTCCCCAGAGACTAAAGTAGCTTTGTTTTTTTCTGTCTAGCCTCGTTCCCAAGTTTTTCACTGCGAGGTCGAGGGTGGTAAAATAAAGCTTTTTCAGTCTCTCGGGACAATATGGCCGCCGTGTGACAAAGGCCTATAGACATGTATAGATTACTGAGTGCCTTTCGAGTTTTCTCAACTTTATCGTCAATCATTATTTCAAAATAAGGGAAAGGTCATTTTTAAATAATAATTGTTTCTATGCTCTCCACGTAGACGGCTTCATATTTCAAATGTGTTGTTAATCCTTAAGTATGGTCAATAAAAATGAGTAGAATTAAGATCGCAGAAATACTTATTTTGTAAAAAGATAATATAAATACATCACTACAAACATTCCAGGCATGGTAACCTCGAAGTAAATTCTGGCTTCTTTCGCTTAAATTCAGTAAATAGACCACTTTCAAAGACTACTGTATGAAATTTGGAAGTAAGGAATAGTTTTTCCTTGTTCCTCGGTTTATTCGTTTATTTTTCTTCATGTTTATTGCCTATTGTAAACGTATTAGCTTACCATTTCTTTTTAAAAACTGTTAAAACACACACCATGCCACTTATATACGGGATTATGAACCCTCAGTTTCAATATTTTTTCTTGGTATCTTTACTTTCAATTGGTATTTTACTTGGGTAACTTTAAGGATTCAGAAACACACACCCGTTGTTACAGTATTCGCCCCGATAATTACTGCGAACGCGTAAGTCTTATTTACTTAAAGAGTGGGGAACTGAGCGTTGAATCCATTTGTTGTATTATTATTGATTACAAACATTGGACAATTTTTCAAGTATAAGAGGAAGCAGCTGCATGCGTTAATAAAAATTACCATATTACTAACAGAGCCGAAAAGAATACCTGAGCCATTCATTTCTAGGCACTGTTCAGTTCTTAAGGTTAGACGTAAAAGCTATTGACGACCTTTTGAATTACCGTCATCTTTTTAGGATGAAGACTCAGATGAAAATGTTTTCCTTTCAAGGCCGAATCATGGTAAATTGTAAGTCTTACGACAATGAGTTTACCATTAAAAGATACATTTAAGAAAACCACGGTTTGAATACACCAGGAAAAGCAATTATGAAGACAGAGCTATTGAATGATTTAATGAAATTCAGTTGACTTCTTAATAACCTCATTAAACAATAGTGCGTTCGTTATTGCGTATTCGGTGCTTACAATTGAGTGTAACAGCTGACGCGATATCCATCGTCCATCTCTCATTTCTTGGTAGAAATAGCGCAGTAAGGATTTTTGGTTGGTCTGCATAAATGATTTTCTATTTTTGTTGCCTAAATTGATAAAATAATAATAAAATAAAGAATATATCATTCAAAGCAGAGCACCTTGAGAATAAACTGCGTGGATAGTTCATTAGATTTGAAATTGGACAGCTAGAAAATTATCAAGTTGCCCCAACTTATTATTTTAAGCCAGAGCGACAGACTCAATATAAAGTAAACAGAACCGGCGCTTTTAATTAGCAGAAAAAAAACGTTCGTAAAATACTCAGGGCTTCAATTTCAAGACTCAAATTTATTTTAGATACCAAAGTTAGCTTTTCAGCCTTAGGTATTTATTTTTTGTTTCCTAGTTTCTTCGCTTTGGTGTCTTGTATTTCCTGGGTAACTCTTAGAAGTCAGGGCCAGAAAACCTGCACTTTCTTCGAATACTATGAACACTTACTCCTCGAGGCTGGTAGGTTGAGCATGGAATCCATTTCTTATCACTGTGAAATGGAAATGCGTTAAAAACAGTTGACCGTTTAACACAAAAAGGAGAAAAGCGACTGTATGCCTCCCCCCGGGGGTACTCCCTTATTGGACCTAATAGACTGGTATGCGTCGCTGAACGCCTGTTCGCTTTCAGAGTCTTGAGTATTAAACAGGGTATACAGTTTCACTTTAGTGTCTTGAACAGAGTGTCGTTTTCGTGGTACCAACAATTTTTTTTTCAAAAAAATATAATTCCATGTTATTAGTTTGAAAAATAACTTATAATTTTGTATACAAAACGAAACGAACCAGGGTCATAAAATAAGGTATCTTGTCTTAAACAGGATAGCGAAAGGATCATTTTTTTTGTCTTAAACGGGATCAGGGTTTGAGGGCCTCAGCAGCACACCCCTACCCAAACTTCTCTTGAGTACCCCCTTCTCCGACCCGCCTCCCCCGCCCCCGCCCTTGGGCTGCATGCTATTAATAAAAATGACTACATTGCCGATAAAGCCAAACCATTAACTCTGGGGTATTCACTTATTGGCATTCGGTACTGAAGACTAATACGCAACAGCTATTGAGGACCCTTCTGTCGTTTTCATATAAGATTGTGAGTGCTGAGCTCTGACGCGGCCTAAGCCTTCTTTACGGACAGCATTAAAAGTTACACGAAGAGTACTGTGGAAAGGTAATAAGGTCAAAATTCCGAAATTTTTCATGACTGACTGGTAAATTAAGTTGAAAACAATGTTTTTTGCCACTTCGGAGCTTAGAGATTTTGGTTTCATAGTTTCCGAAAAAAAGGCCTGTGTGAAAAGTGCATTTAATTTTGTAAACTGTAATTTAGTTTACAGTACAAGTTATGCTTGAATTTATAGATCCAACGATTACGGTATAAAGTTTGAACGGAGGGAAAAGCTTTTACCTTTTTTTCAATGTATTTATTTTAATTACTTATTTTCTAAAAGGTGCTATATTTATCAGAAGGGAATTCTGTTTAGAAGAAAATTTATTCTGGTCCAACCAAGAACCGACTTCTAAAACAAGATTGTAATGAATAAATTATAGACACGAAAGTTGCAACGTAAAATGAATATCTCTCTGTGGAGCAGACTAATAATACCATGTTTCGGTCCTTGACACAAACACACTGAGAAGCGCAACATATGTTTACGAATATTTTCCTCTCGTAACCAGTAATTTTTTTAAGTAAAGCAATTGGGGAATGGACGGGAATATTTTATTGCAATTTTGAAAAGAAACAGTGAGTGGAGATCTGAATTGAAAGTTAATGAATACCACTTAGCTGAGCGTGTTTTGTATCAAAAGTTAAAGCTACTGTTAAATAATTTATTAAGCCAGTTGATTTAAAATGGGAATGACAGAGATATACTTACACGAGATTCGCATACTACGTAATCATTTGTGATAACTTCAATGAACAATGAATGAATTTTATATAATATATTTTAATAGAAACCAATACTCGCCACAGGAAGGAATCCTGTTTTTGTTTAATTACTATTATTTATGACCATTATTTATTGTTATTATTATTATTATTACTATTATTATTATTATTATTATTATTGTTATTATCATCATCATCATTATCATCATCACTATTACCATTATTTTTTGCAGGTCAGCAATCGTTTAATTGCATCTCGATATAATATGGCCAACAATTATCAAACTCAGGGATCGAGTTCCTATGATCCCCTAGGACGCTCGAGCAGTGAAATTGGCTTGGAAGTGGCCTTGTCTATTCTTATTTGCCTCATCTCCATTCTCGACAACTTATTAGTCGTCTACGTTGTCAATAACGACTCCAAACTAAAGAGCGTTACGAGTACATTCATCCACAACCTGGCATTGACTGACATTTCCATGGCATCGCTTCACATGCCCTTTTGGATAATTAGCCTGTATAGAGGAACCTGGATTTTTAGCGAGAAGTGGTGTGAGATTTCAGCTACGATTCTGTTTACGTGTGGACTTGCTTCTATCCTGACAATGGGGCTTATCGCCGTTAACCGATATATCCGCGTCGTCAAACCGGCGCTGTACAACAGGCTTTTCCCGAGCAAGAGAATAGCACGAGTTTACTGCGCCCTCGTCTGGATAGCTTCCATGCTTCTTGCAACTCCGCCATTGTATGGGTTTGGCAAGATGGCGTACAATCCTCTTTTTGCCATCTGCTCTTTCGCTTGGAAAGCCGAGCATATTTTATATATCATACTTGTCGTGGGTGTAGTGATCAACGGAACCACAGTTCTAATATTTTACTGCTACTACAAGATTTATAAGACTCTGAAAGAAAGCACTCAAAATCTGACAGCCCATAGCATGGAAGATGGAGCGGCCTTATCAGAAAGTCCTCGAACTGATATTAAACTGTTGAAGACCAGTTTCACGATCGTTTGTGTATTTCTGATAATATGGGGACCAGTGACCGTCGTTGTGATTGTTGAGTCCGCTGGGATATTTATTCCTCGGGAGATTTCTATGCCAGTCATTTACTTAGTATTCATAGGCAGTTTGTTAAATCCAATTATTTACGGGAGTATGAATCCGCAGTTCCAAGCGGCCTTCAAAAGGGCTTTACTGTTTAGTCGTTAGGGTTGGTAATTTTTACGTGTGCACGTGAGTAAAATTTACGTTCGCAAATAAAATAGATGCAATGTATGATAGTTCCCACGTAAGCGTAAAAGTAGAACCTCGCTCAACTTCACGTTTAATCTCAACACTTTATATCTTGCATTTTATTTTCGTGATTAAAATTTAGGTACGTTAACGTGCGTAGCCAAAGACGCGTCAGTGGAAATCCACCCTTACCATAGGCGTACGGGCCGGGGGTCGAGGGGAGCTGCAGCGCCCCCAAATTTTGGGCAACTCAAATTTTTTGGGCAGCGAGAAAAAACTAGGACAAAGCCAGTTTTTATAGACGTCTCCATTTTATTTTATTATTTTAAAGACCTGAATATTAACCTAAAGTCGGCGTAATGATCCAGTTTCATTACAGTGGTTGCTTAGCATGTGATGAGTAATTTACATATTTGCAGGTTTTTTTCGGTTGGGCACTATACTGCACTGCACTAGCTGGAATGGGCTATTTCCAGTCGAGAATTGATTAAAATAAACTTTCGCATAACTTTCTAGAATCATCTCCACTCGACGAACAGTGTATGGCAGATAGCATTTAGCAATGGGTATTGCCTGCGTATTGCAAGCGGATTCGCACGCGTCTTGTATTGCAAGCGTTTCCGCGCGAGTTCGACTGGAAACGCTTGCTACGCAGGCTAAAATGGGTATGAAATGAAGAAGTGGCTGACTAATTCTCAGTTTGAATTACGAGAAGAATCTTAATTCGTTTAAAAAATCTTTCGAGCGGTTTAAAATTATTCGCTAATTTGTTAACGTAGACCGAAATGTTTTCAAAACCGCTAACAAGAGTGTCTCGAAACATACAAATCAAATCCTTCTTTCGATTATAGCAATCAAGCAGAGCTATCTCCACGATCTTTCACACATGTTTTTAAAAAGACTAAAACTACTGAGGTGAAATTGCAGGTCAAAAGCTGTTCGTTTTCTACCGATAACGGCCAAAAATCAAGATTTTCCTTTTCTTACCGAATTTCTAATAATAAAAACTTCATTGCAAAATATCTCGATAACGCTCTTAAGGTTTTGCTTAAACTTCACGAACTTCGAGGCGACCGTATTGGAGAAAAATGTTTCTGTGAACGATTTTGTAAGGTTCCCGACCCGACAATCATTGCTGAAGTAAAATAGGTAATGGAGTCATTTCGTTGCTATGACAACTCGGATGTCATTGCAACCCTGGTGATGACAAATTTTCATCTTAATACAACTGTGGTCGCAATTTTTCCAAATGTTTGTTTATGGCGACGTAGTTTATGCTCAGACTTGGTATTGACCCTGAAAAACTGTATCGACCCACCTTCATATGCCAGGACGGCCTATGTTGTTGCAATATGGCCCTCATTTCTTTTCGACTCTTTCGTAAAAAATTGGGCNACACCGCCTTCGTCTATTGTGCGCTTTTGGTAAAATATAGGGGAGGTTTGGTGGGTGTTAGGGGCCAAATTGTTGTCGCCCCCCCCCCCCCCCCCCCAGGCAAAACATTTCCCGTACGCCTATGACCCGTACGGCAACAAGCATATAAGTTATAGTTGTACTAGATGGAACCAAGCATTGTAGCCAACGTAAATGATTTCATGAGACGATATGAAGTCTCAGAATTAAAGAACTTGCGGTGCTAGCCCGCGAAAAGGCTCTCAAGTTGAGTGGGGCGTAAAGGAATATCGCGAGCCGAGCTCGGCTATTGCAGCGCAGGTGCATACAGACGGTTAAAATCTTAGAGTGTCATCAACACGACCACCTTCTTAAATTTGATCTTAAAACAGAGAAGGATTTGAAAGTGCTTTCTTATGGTTTACTTGTAAAATGTCTTGAACTAAAATCCAACAAATAAATTTATGTTAGATTTTTGGCAGTTATTTACAACAAGAAAATGTAAGTAAAATGAGAACATAGGTATTCAAAGGGTCAGACCGCCAATTCGTTTTGCTGGATATGTCTGTACGTGGTAACTTTTCATGAGTGGGAAGCCTATAATGTGCGTGTGATTCCACAATAGACTGAAGTTGTTTTACCAATTTAGACGATGTTCTCAAAGGAATTAAATTATGAACACATATATATATGCACGTGGATACACGTTAATAGGACGATATTTGAAAACAAAAAACAGTTCTCTGGGGTAACATCACGTGGTCTGAAATGGGAGGACAAATATATACAAGCTAAAAAGTCCATTGATTTCGGCTCCGCTAAATCATCTTCCAATAGACCTTTTCCGAGTTACACAAACGCTCACTTTCAAAACGAGGCTAAGCGCAAAACCTTCCTTGTGATTATTTGCATGAGGATTAAAAATCATTTTCAGGTCAATAGCTTCGCACTTAGCCTCGCTTTTACGGACGAATTGCCTATTGCAAAACAATTTCTCCTAAGGAGGAGCCTGGCATAATATGAGCAAAGCTACTGATAAGGCATATTATATATGGCTCAAAAGCCAATCTCATGCTTCACTAACCTTAACAAAACAATCTAAAATGTTGCGACTCAGTGGCCTAGCCGGCGGTGGTTCACTCGAAAAAAGTCTTTAGACGAACAAGAATATGTATTTTTAAATAGGAAGTTGTTTACAAGAAGAATATGGAGGTCCGATTTGAACATAGCGCTCTGTATGCAAACATTTCCTTGTTTGGAAAAAAACATAGGCAATATATGGTGTGCTTATAGTTAGTAAAGTACTTATACTCAATACTCCTATTTGATCAACAAAGACCTCACCACAAAAATATTTATAGAACCAGGGTCTCAGATGTAGTCTTTCAGGACGTTTTGGTGTACCGAACAGGTTTTTCCCGTTAGGCTGTATTTGGCACGCTGAACGTTGACACTGATCATCAAAACTCAAAGACTTCCTTATGGAAGTCAAACGTAACACCTCCACTTGAGAACGTGGCGCACAATTTCTCGGCTGAGTTCACCAGTGATGTTGGGCCACAGGTCAGTACCGCCACTTTACTCTCGCCCATCTCACTGGCGTAGCCTTTCATCTTAGAGAATAGTTTTGGCAAAGTCAGGACGACCGAATTTTCACATCTGGTTGCATTTCTGGACGGATGTTGTCTTCTTCAAACTTGGACGAATGTCTCTCTCTGGTGAGATGGAAATAGTTTTCCAACACCTCTTGGGGCTGTCCCCGTACGACCAGATCGGGGCAGAAGGAGATTTATTTTTATATTAAATATTATTTTTTAGTTATTTATCATGTACTGTATTTTGTTATGATTAATAGAGCGGTTTTCACTTGACTGTCGAAAGGGATTGGTTTTGGTTTTGGTTTTGGTTTTACTACGCCTTTGGTTGGCTAGTGTATTTACTTTGGTTTTGGTTTTACGACAGTCAAGTGAAAACCGCTCTAAAGGCTGTCTTGTATCCCAAACAATGCCTGGCTTTCTGAGTTTTGATTTGTTGATTTAGTGTAAAAACTATGCCATTATAGTAATATCCTGTCACTGTAGGTGGAATACATACACACTGAAAAACTAAGTTAGCACTAAGCCTCTATTATTATCAGATTATTTTTGTCCTGTATCATACAGTCAAACCCCTTTTTACGGACACCAGCTTAATGTGGACTCCCTGTTATTGTGGGAAGTTTCCTTGGTCACTGGGGAAAACCCTTAATTTTTCTCTTTATTCAACCCTCTTAATACAGACTGACCTGTTAAAGTGGATAATGGACGTTTTTTTCTTCCTCAATGAACAGGTTCTCATATAAAGTCAACCTCGCTAATCCGCACACTTTCTAGTCCATTGTGTGCTGTAGTCAACCTCTTTTTTTGTGGGTAAAAAAACCTTTCACTTAATTGATGTCATGTCCATGTTCCCAGCATCATAGTACACCAAAATGAATGAATTGTGCACAACAATAATAGACCATTTTGACATCAATCGAGTCGGTAAATGTTACACAATTTTTGATCGATTTTCTCGAGACTTCCGTTTGTTTTCATGGACACAGTCTGCAGAATAAGAGCTTAGTGATGTTTAAATATGTTAGGTGTGATGCTGTAGTATTTCGATTAAAAAAGTGTATTTTTGACTTTTATAACAGGACCTGCTTGATATGGAT